GATAGTTCATCAACGACTTGGTATGGAATATTATAATTCTGGTCAGATTGTCAAGCTGTTGTGATGTGGTATAACACAATAGTCAACTTGAATGCCTGCAAGCCTCCAAGCCCATCACATCGAACATGATAGTTATCAGCAACTCAGCCTAGAAAAGTCATATCAAATACAGATAGACCTTTTCAGATTGTTGAGCACTGTGATGTGTGGCCAGCATCGAACACGATAGTTCATCAACGACTTGGTATGGAATATTATAATTCTGGTCAGATTGTCAAGCTGTTGTGATGTGGTATAACACGATAGTCAACTTGGATGCCTGCAAGCCTCCAAGCCCACCTTACCTTACAGAATAAAACTTTTCACTTATCTGGAAAATTTTTTAAAGCAGAAATTGCCATAGATTGGTATTTGCTTGATTCACCATCCACAAACCTTCTAGAATATGTGGCATGTTCTTTCTGCTTATCTGCTGACCAATTATCTTCCATCCGACGAAAGTTCAAATAGTTTATAAGACTCCAGTCCAAGCATTCTGAAAAAAAAAGTGTTTTCATTTTTCTAAACACAAGTTTGAGTCTGGTGTGGTGTAGGTGGATTACTTATGCCACATCACGTTAGAAATTTTTAATTTGCACTCATGTGATGCACTCATAGAAATTGCATTAACAAAAAAGTAGTCCCTGGTGCAGTCACATGATGATGCTGCGCAAATCGGTGACGTCTTCTCTCCTGCCGCGATTGACAGTAACACCAGCGCAGCTGCGGAATTTGTAGTAGGAGTACAAAACATTGCTTGCAGGTGGTACGAAATTATAATAAAGTGTAACGGACAGTGATGAGCGCTGCAAAAGTAAAGGAGAATATTCGATAGATGATTAGAAATAGCTGCCTAATATTCTTTTTATTTCATATATTGTTGTTAATAAACGAGTATCGCATTTACTCTGAACTTATACTATTGACACCCTATTCTCTAAATTAGTTGATATAATTGAGAAACCGTTTAATCCGTATATCAACGAAGGATAATTACCCTCTTGTCCCGCAATTATCTGAGTGGCGAGTTAAGATATTTAATTGTTATTTTAGAAACGCGTTACTTTTATTCATATACTATTGTACCCCAAACGGAAGACTATCGAATTTATCTCACGATAGTAACCGACAGACATACTCGAGTACGATTAAAATATCTAGGATTAACGTCGCTCTACGACAAAATAGCTTATAAGTGGAAAGCCTTGAATTAACGAGGTCACTAACTGTATTCAGAAATTTAACTAGAGTAGGAGGCACCACGCTCCGTCGATACTAGCTAAATCCATTATTATCCGCTCTCGGCACGACAGTACCGAATCTAATATTAACACTTGTATAGAATGAGAGGAGACATCCCGATTATTGTTATTATATGAGTTCTTAGCAACTATTTCAATTATGACTTTTGCAGCACTGCTGCAGTGGTGCAGCAGTGGTACAGCAGTGGTGCGGCAGTGGTGCGGCAGTGGTACAACAATGGTGCTGTACTACCGCGATATAAATTCCCGTATGACTTGGTGTTACTGCGCCGTTGGAGAAAAGGAGAGAATACGTCACTGTTTATAACGTAGCATCACAAGACCATTCCAAATGTATTTTATGATTCCTTTCGTTAACGAAAAGTTTTCTCTTGCCAACCCGACCATAAAACCCTTCTTCATGCAGATAACACTGTACAGTGCATGAGCAAACATTGGTAGAAGTTGACTCGATAAATTCATTAGTTAAATTATTTAGGGAAGCTTTTCTATTTGTCTTTAATAAACGAACAAGATCATGTGTGTCTCGTTTAGTTAGTTTAGATGGCCGTCTGGGGTGTGGAGGTGGTTTTTTTTCACCAGTTTTTTTATGAATTTTAGGGTATTTATAATGGTAGGAATCGGCACTCTGCACTTCCAAGCACCGATGATCTCATTACGTTCTTGTTCTGAAAGTTCTCTTTGTTTTATATCCATTATGAGTAAGAAAGGATGAGAGAGGGTACACAATAAAGAAGAAAATGTTCTTCAGAAAAAGGGAAAAAATTTTGTATCACTTTATTTATGCTAATCTGTATGCAAATGCTTAGAAAGAATGTTAATAGTCATGGCTAATCATACTTAATTCAGAAAGTCTCATGATTTATGTCAGGGGAGTGTACACTGATCATCATCAACTAGGCTGTGAGAGATCAAAATAGAATGATTATTGGATAGGAATGGTGGAAGGCCTGATGGCAGGAGACATGGAATGTGCATTATACATTGATGATTTGCCATTTCCACTTTCTTGTGCAAGACCAAGTATGTAATCCATTATCCATATGATGTTCACATGCCATGATATATTCTGAAATCGCATTGAACTCAATCTCAAAATCACAATGGAAATAATCTTCTTTGCTGGGAGGTGTTGTGTGTGCAGAAAATGTTACATTCATTAGAGGGGTTTGTGGCAGCCTTATTGCCCTTGTGTTGTAATGCAGATATTCTAAAGACCATTTGGTCTGTTGTTGTTTTGGTTTAGTATATTTTTTTATTTCAGTTATTGTTTGTAATTGCCATTCTAATTTAATAGTTATTTCTTCTGAGAACACATTATCAAACTATGTGAGTGTTTGCTTCAATGTTTTTTGGTAACCAAGCAATTGTAGATAATAAAGAATAACAATTGTCAAATTTTTTCGCTCAATCAGTCATGAACCATTTCTGGTGTTTGGTATTCTGAACCATCAATGACAATTTTGTAATATTCGAATAATTCTCAGTGCGTCACTGTATATTTTGCTCATAAATAAGTAATTATTATTATTTCGTGTTCTTAAAAAAAGAACCTTGAGTTCAGTTTGATAATAACTCATTTTGTTTCTGGAACCACAAAGATTAATATGTTGGTCGTCGAGGTATATGATTTGTGCATCTATTAGTTGGAGATCGTGCTCGCCCCGGCTAAGCTTTTTGGTGGCTGAGGAATCGCATATTTTTTCTCCGAGCATAAGAAATATGACTTCCATGGATCCTAAACGACGTCCAATTACGTGTTGACGGTAACGATCACCTTTGACCATATTGAAAATGTGCGACGGTTCAAGTATTTGGTCATACACTTTGAGTGCGCGTTCCATGCAATTAGGGTTGGTGGGTGGTACAGACGACATATACTCTTTTGTAAATAAAGCGGAGAGACTCATTATTCGTATATGCGGTATCTGAATATTGTCTTGGAACACTGTTGCCCTTTGGGTGGTCTGCCACAACGATAATCACAAGTATGTATTTGATGTGCCTGAAGAGTTCGTAATTTGGATATGGCATGTCAGATCGAATGATGTTGTTATGGATCATTTGTTCTATGGAGTAAGTCGTCCAAAGACAAGTATGCGTATGCGCCGCGCCACGATTTTGAAATTCAACTCGTTGAAAATAGTCTTGTATTGTGCCTCATTCAGATATCTTTCGTCTTTCCAGATGGCTTTTTTCATAGAACGTAAGCGATGGAGAAAATGTGAAGTCACATCTCATTTTCCTTCAGCCGTCGATAAAGTAAACCAAAGTTACCAATTGCAAATATGACAAAATGGCCATGTCGAAAGAACCCATAGACGGGATTTATGTATTTTCCATAAGTTTGATCGAAATTTTCTGATGTTTCAGACGTCTGTTTCCGGTGTCTGTAATAACCTTGGCCATCTGGAAATAGGTCTGGAAATAACAAAGCTTCTAATTCGGGATCGTGAAAAGCAATCGGGATTTTTTTGTCATCTGTATCTGTTAGGAATTCAATTGCTAGGAGTGTAATGTGCATCTTCGTTATGTGTATCATCTGGAAAGTCATATGGCGGAACGACTACATCACCGGGGTGCATTTGTATCAGTTTGCACATGCGTGGCCCAGGGCCAAAGATGCAGACAGACGTATTACTTTGTGATAGGAGTTGTTGGGCTACTGAATTGTAGGCTTTAAGGTAAGGAGCGAATTTGTTTGTATCCTGAAAAAATAGTGTATTTTCCGTAATAAGGTCGTTATCTATATGATACGTCGTGGGTGTTTGTAATCGAGCCTTTGATTTATTACGTCAGGCAGAAGATTGATTCATGTGAAAAATAAACAATTTCCAATTTAGGCGATACCCTTTCAGACCTATTGATGATCTCATTTCGCTATGTGGAAGTAAAAGGTGGATATCGTCTATGACAACGAACCTAACATGAAACAATGACTTATAAGACTCTCCAGAGCCAAACAATCGTCTTCTGAACTAGAACGTTTTTTCGGTTACAAACAGTTGAACCACAGTGGTAGAATATTCAGCTTGTTGATTTGTTGAACAAGTATTATCGATAAACACAATGAATTACCTTATCATCATTGTCGCAATCTTGATGCATCCTGCTGGTATCCATCATCTTGCTCCTGACCTCTCCGATTTGGCTCATAATTGCTGTTATTGTTTTAATGAATAAGCTGAATGCTAGTCAGTTAAAAACAATACATTATGCTCAACGTTCTGATGTCTTTAACATATCGAAAGAGTGACATGAGTGAAAGTTGTGAAGGTGAAGGTTAGGGAAAGCAGTTACAAGAAATTTATTAGTCATCTTTCTACAAACAGTATCTAACATATTAAATATTATCTAGAGTCCAGATTCTCTCAGAAAAATCTTCTCCGATGCACCTAGCCAGACTGAAAAACATCAACCTTCATGAACCCTTGCTCAATGTGCTATAAATTTGTTTATAAGTTTATTCAGAAATGATACCTGATGATCTCATCAAAAAATACTCACCAACGTAGAAGAGCTCGATCCCGTCCTCGTGATAGCACTAAACATGGCTATATATGGTCTTGCCCAAAGGTTTCAGATAAATATTCCTATTAGTGAAGTATTTTGGGACAAAAATTCACATTGTCTGTTCCACTTTCGAGAAATGTGTGAATCATTTAAAGCCCGTGATGGGATCACTTGGCCAGCAGCTTTTGACATACAGACTAGTCTTCATGCATCTCACCACTGAAATGACCTAAATGTTCAACTGGAACCAATTGGACAGGCATGGATTCTAATGAAGATTGGATCTAAATTCTCACTATATATTGTTTTGGCCAATTGTCTATAGGATTCTATTGACATGCCACCAATGGTCTTGCAGTGTGTATTTCAAACTTGATCGAGATATTTTGTAACCGAATCTGACAGCAAAGGCTAGGGTTGAACAAAGCAAAGGTTTGAATTTTTTTCCTATTTTTTTGCCATTTTTTGTAATAC